GAGTGACCCCGAACAGAACCGAGATGCCTGGGGGAGTGACCCCGAACCATTTTTGCCCAGGTAGCGGCAAGGGCAGCACGGCTATCACCACAGGAGTGAGTCTTCGGCGAGCTGGCAGGAGGGGACCCAGGAGTGTTCAGGTCAGCCAGGTGGATGCACGGGCAACCTGTCCCCAGGCCTATGCCCTGGTGCTTTGCCGAGAGCCAGAACTGCCCTGGCAGAGGGGGCGTACTTGGGCAGCAGGACTTTCCACACACTGCTGGCAGAGAGGCCTGTGGTTCAGAGCTGTGGGCCAAGCCCTGTTCTAAACTTAGGAAGGCAGCAGTGAAAAAACAGGCAAAAATCTCTGTGCTTGTGGAGCTCACCTTCTCATCAGACAGCAGTGGCGGTGAGGTGGACGTAACATGCCTTGTGGGTGCTAAGTAGGGTTGGCCCGAGGTCTCCCGAGCATCCCAGGGTGCCTTGCTTATGTGAGGGCCAGGTTCTGGGGCAGCGCTGTCCCGTCCGTGTTTGGCAGAGGCCCTCTGACACTGCCACTGTCTGTCTGTGCCCCCGCCGAGGGCTTGTCATCTTTCACGCGAGTCCCACACAGCACTCAGTTCGTGCCCCGGGGTGCCAGCCCTTGCCTCGCTGCGCCTCCATCCCCCAGAGCCCCATGGAGACTTTTTTCCTCACTGTTTGTGGCTTCACAGAGGTCAGGGGGAGCTGTCCCCAGTTCTCAGAACGTACCTCGCTGGGGGAGGCCATGCAGGGCTGAGGGTGCCTGTTTTCCTGCCATGTCCTGGAGAAGGCTCCTCCAAACTCCTTCCCAGACACAACAGGACAGGTGGGAAAAGGGGCACCTAGTGGTCTGGGGAAGGCCTGGGGCTGTGCTGGGGGAGGTGTTAGGCCTGGAGTGGTGTTTGTTCTGGAAGCCTCCCCCACAGAGGGAGATGCTGGGCAGCCAGCTGGGCTCACAGAAGAGCGTCAGCTGGGCTCCTTGCCACTCCAGGGGGGTGTTTCTGAGAGCTGAGTGCTCTTGGGGCCCCCAAAGCCTGGATGAGGCCAGGGACCCTGTACAAGGACAGGGACGGGATCCCTGGTGGTGAAGGTGCCCCGCAGCTGCCAGCCACCTCTGTGCAGAGTTCCCTTGTTCTGGGGCCCAGGCTGGGCTGAGCAGAAGCACTTGTGTGCAAGGGGTGGGTCTTGGGGCAGCAGTGCCCTGATCTTGGCTCCTTGTCATCTGTCCCTCACCGGGGTTGTGGCTTTAGCTGAGTGTTTTTCTAGCTGCTTTGCGGGGTCCAGGCATGGAGCCTCTGGTCCACTGAGCACGTCATCGGGCCTGGCAGGGAGCAGGTATGTCACTGGGCGTTGCTTGACCACCCAGGATCCTGGGGACGCCTCCATAAGTGGTTCTGCCCTGTTCGCGGCCCCCTTCTGAGCTGTCTTGTGTTCCTGTGTGGCTTCGCTGTGGCCCGCCCTGACAGTCGTTCGGGTCATGGTAGGGAGGGGTCCCTTTGGGACACCTGCCTGCGCTTTCCAGGGCAGACCAGGAGTAAGTGGCCAGGCCATCACCACAGGAGGACGCTGCTGAGAGAGCCTCCCAAGTCCAGGCTGAGCCGTGCTGCAGGTGCCCTGGAGTCTGAGGGGCCGGCACAGGCCAGACCAGTTGCTGTGACTGCGGCAGCTCCGCAGTCGGAACCCGTCCAGCCCATTCTCAGGTCATGGGGGTGCTCCTGGACATGTTTTGTTCACTCCTGTGCTCTCTGTCCTCAGGTGCAGAGGCCAAGACTGTTTTGCCCAAGAAGGAGAAAATGAAGCTGAGGCGTGAGCGATGGTTGCAGAGTAAGTCCACGCCCATGTCTCGAGGCAGCTGCTGGCCAAGTCCCATCCCTTGGGCCCTCCTGTGCCCACAGCTGCACTCCCCCCTCAGGGTGCCCAAGGGGATCACCCAAGACCCTTCAGAGGCTGCGGTGGGGGCTGAAGGATAGTGGAGGCACAGAGAGGGAGGCTTTGGAGATGTGACAGCATGGACAAGCTGCCAGTCTGCTGTTACAGGTGGCACTACCACCCCACCCATGTGGGCGCCTGCAGAGCTGGGCTGCCTCCCCTTGGAGGATGGCCTGGGGAAGCTGCTGCTCTCGGCTCCTTGTTTGTAAAAATTCCCTATCTTTGGTTCCCACAGTGAATTTTTATTATGGAAGTAACCTGTGCTTGTGGAATCTCTGTGGTTCGGAAGTGCCTGCAGTGGTGTGTGAAATCTGTCCAGGCCTTGCCCACGGTGAAAACACAGTGTCTGTGCACAGCAGTGTGGGTGTGGGCAGGGCTCCTGGGGTCCCCGGACCCTTTCAGGCCTGAGGTCCCTCTTTTCTGAGGCTCCACGTGCGAGGTCGGTCTTGCCACGTGCTCCCAGCCACCGTCTCCACAGGTGAAAGCTGTGCTTCCCACTCATGTTGTTTAGAGTTTCTCCTTATTTTTCATGGTGTTGAGTATTTGCCAATGTTTTTCTAAAGATTTTTCTCATCAATATTATTTTGCATTTTTTGGTTATCTTTTTAGGGTGATTCTGCTGACTTTGTGAAATTAATTTGGAATATTTTCTCTTTTATGTCCTCACATGTTAAAGCCTGGTCTGCCTATTTTTTTCCTTGAAGGTTTTAAAGAAAATGTTATGTGTTTCAGAGGTAGGACCTAGAAGTTTGTCAGTTTCTTTCGTGATTATTACTGTTACACGGCTTCTGTCACTTTTTGGGTATTTCTTAAGGAAGTGATTCATTCCTCCATTTTCTTTTTCACAGTTCCTGGCGTAACTGTGAAAGTGGGTCTGGATGAGCTACTGGACTATGGCCGTTTGGACTCTGATTTTCTAGGCTGTCATTCTTTGATGATGTGTAAATTTTATTCCGTGGCACTTGGTCCTTTTTTTTCTTTTTCATGACTTGAGTCAATTTTGGTCACTCATAAAATGATCAGATTTGTCTGGAGTTGGTGCCTCATTTAATCCCAGCACTTTGGGAGGCTGAGGTGGAAGGATCACCTACACCCAGGAGTTTGAGACTAGCCTGGGCAACATAGCAAGATGGTGTCTCTATAAAAAAATATAAAAATTAGCCAGATTAGGTGATGCGTGCCTCTGAGCCACCAGCCCTGGTGACTTAGGAGGCTGAGGTGGGAGGATCGCTTGAGCATGGGAGTTCCCGGCTGCAGTGAGCCATGATTGCATGACTGCCCTCCAGCCTGCACCACGAGCAGGCCGCTGTCTCTAAATAACACGAATGATCAGATTTAGTCACATCTCAGTCTTTATGTCTTGGCTGCCTTCTCGTTAAATATTCTATTTTCTTTATCATTCTTTGTTTGTATCCTCCTTTCATATCTGATTAAATTAAGAAGTTTTGTCTCTTCCATTTAATAATTAATGAATGTGTTTAATGATTATTCTACTCTTTTGTCTTCAAAATTATTAGTTTTTATTTTGATCACTTCTCTCTTCTAGCTTTCTTTAGGTTTCAGCTGCTCTGCTCATTTGTTTTCATGTGTTTTGTTCAGGACTGAAAGGCTATGTTATCTCTAAATACAGCTTTAGCTACATTTCCCAAGGTGTTTTTATTTTATATTTTATTATGAAAAATTTTATTTAGGAAACTGGGAAGAATTTTATACTGAGTATCCTGTACCCACCACACAGATTTTACCATCTTTATTATATAACTGTTCATCTAGCAATTTCTGTCCATCTGCCAACATGGGTTTTTTAAAATGCATTTCAAAGTAAGTTACAGACATCAGGATACTCCACCCCAAATAATTCTGCTAGAGTTCAATATTTGTTCATGGTTCTTTTTTTTTTCTTTTTCTTTTGAAGATTGTATCTGTGTAAAATGAAACGCAAATCTTAAGTGTGTCATTCAGTAAACTCTGACAAATGTGTACACCTGTGCAGCTGAAATCCCATTCAGATTACAAACCATTCCCACCATTCCCCAGCAGCCCCCGTGCACTCCAGCCACTTACCTCTCCCACCCACCCCAGAGGTGATAACCAGTGTGCCATCTTTTTTGTCCACAGTTTAGGTTTTCTTGCCTTGGGCCTCATATAAATGGAATCACGTAGGGTGTGCTCTTTCTGTCTGGCATAATGGTTTTGAAGCTCATCAGGCTGCATGTAGCAGTAGCCCATGCCTGCTTCTTGCTGAGGAGTGTTTCACTGTATGAATACACCATTTGTTAGTCATTTTCCTGCTGATGGACACCTGGGCTTTCTTCCATTTTTAGGGACTGTGAATAAGGCTGCTATGAACATTCTTTACACGTCTTTTTGTAGACATGTTTTCGTTTCTCTTGGGTAAATGCTGAGGAATGGAATGCTGGGTCATAGGGTAGGTGTATGTTTAGTTTTACAAGCAGCTGCCAGACGTTTCTCTAGAGTGGTTGTACACTCACACTCCCACCAGAAGCCTGTGCGAGTTCTCCCTGCCCTGCAGCTTTGCCAGCACGCGGTGCGTCGCCTCCTGTCTGGGCCGTCTGGTGATCACGATATGGTGTCTCACGGTGGTACTCATTTTCATTGCCACCAAAGGAGCATTTTCGTCTGCTTACTGCCCATTTGCGTTTCAGCTTCAGTGAAGTTCATTTTTCATGAGACTTTTTGCCTTTTTATTATTGAGCTCTAAGAATTCTTTATCTGTCCTGGAGTCCAGTCTTTGGTTGGATATGCTTTTTACAGATGTTTTCTCTCAGACTGTGACTTGCCTGTTCATTTTCTTAACTTTTTTTTCTTTTTTATAAATGGGAGCTTAATTTTGAGTTTAGTTATTGTGTGTATATGTATGTATATATGTTTGTGTGTCCTATTTAAGAAAATTTTGCCTAATCCCAAGTCATGAAGCTATTATTCCTATGTTTTCTTCTAAAAGCTTGATACTTTAAGCCTCCGTATTTAGGTTTCTTGTTTGTGTGTGTGTGGTGGTAGTGGTTAAGTTACGTTTTTCCCCCCAATACGGATATTCAGTTGTTCCAGCACCATTTGTTATAAACACTTTTCTTTCCCCATTGGATTGTTTTGTGCCTTTGTGAAAAATCAAATGGCCTCATAAGTGAGGGTCTGTTTCTAGGCTGTCCTCTGTTCCATTGATCTATTTGTTGTACCTTAGCAAATGCCATACTGTCTTGATGACTGTAGCTTTAACATTAGTCTGGAAGTCAGATAACGTAAGTTCTTTATGTTGGTTTATCTGTCTTAAGGTTGCTTTGGATATTCTAGGTCCTTGGCATTTCCATATAAATTACCATTAGCTCATCTGTTTATTTAAAAACAGCAAGAAAAACCAGGTAGGGTTCTGATTGGGATTTCATTGAATCTATAGATCACTTCAGAATTGCCATCTAACAATAGCGAATCTTTAGGTCCATGAACATGCTACATCTCACCATTCAATTTTCATCACCACAGTTGTGTCGTTTTTGTGTAGAGGTCTTACACTAAGCTTACTGCTAAGTATTTATTAGTTTTTTATGCTCCCGTAAATTCAGTTCTTTTCTAGTTCTCTGCTAGTATATTACATACAATTGGTTCTTTAAAATATTAGTCTTGTATCCTATGAATTAACTAATATCATGTATTAGGTTTGGTAGTCATTTTGTAGATTCCTTAGAATCTTTAGAAATGCATATTTTCTGTGTGCATGGATTTTTTTTTTCCTTCAATTTGCTTTTTTTCCTCAATTTGTATTGAAATTTCCCCTGTGGATCTGAATGTGCCACCCCCACCTCGTCTTTGTGAGAACAAGCTCACAAACTTTGTCCCCCCTTCCCGTGCCCTTCCACTCCTGGAGGCCTCTCTGGTCACTCTCAATCCCTTACTTTGCTTTGTCTTATCCACACACTTCCCCGGTGCCCAGGTGGTGCCCCCATGTTCCACCACACAGCCTGTGCCCCAGCCATGCCACGGGCAGTGGCTCCCACATCCTATGGGCTGGAGGGTGGGTAGCTGGAAGCACACATGTCCTGCTCAACTTTTCCGTCCCACGCTGTCCTCCTAGGTGGCCAGGCTGCTTCACATCCACCCAGCAGCTCCCAGATCCTCTAACACTTGACATTATGAAACAGTTAAAGATTTGCCAGTCTGTGAGGTGGAAAATGGTATTTTGTAGTTGTGATTTTCTTTTCCTTGATTTCTAATGAAGTCAAGTGGCTCTTACTATACTTTTTGGCCTTTGATTCCTCTTTGCTTTTAGTATTTAATTCATACGTAACTGATTTTTCGCAACCGCGTGAGAGAGGAATCCAGCTTTTTCCCCAGGAGGACCCAGTTTATCTAAAGTGTCATGTGTTGTGCTCACACTTCGCCCACAGCCTGCCCTGGGTCCCCTGAGTGTTCATCTGCACATTTGCCACACTGAATTTCTGTTGTAATTTGTTTTAATATGTGATAGCCCTGCTTTCTTGTTTTTAAAAATTGTATTTACTATTCATTCTTATGCGTTTAATTTTTTTTAAAAAATAAAATGTAGAATTAGCTGCACCGGTTTGACTAAAAATCCTGTCGAAATTGTAATTGAGGCAGCATCAGGTTTTTCTGGAGTGAGTGACTGAGAGGAACCTCGCTCTCCCATTGGTCCTCCTGGTTACTTGGAAGCTGCTGTTTGTGTGGGCCTCCCCCAGGTGCTGCAGATGAGAGCAGTGCTGAGTGTTCCACGGTGTGGGTCCTGCCCCCCACTGCCTCCCCGCTCCCCCACCTCAGAATTGAGCGGGCCAAATGGAATTGTTGATATTGTGGTCATCATTTCTTGTTCTGTTGTATCATTGAGTGTCTGACGTTTTGCTGTGAAACGTGAGACTCACTGTCAGTTTCTAGCAGCTAATCTCTGTCAAGGAAGTGCCTTCCGTTTGTGGTTTCATTGTCATTTTTGTCTTGAGTGAGCAGCGAATCGTACAGAACCTCGCAGATACTGGTGGTGGTGACCGTAGGCTTTCTCACCTCTGAGCGGCCCCTGAGGAGCGTCACCCTGAGGCTTTCCTGGGGGAACTGCCCTTGCATGCCTGGGACTCACCCTGCTTGGCACAAGGTGTCATTCTTCTGAAAGGCTTCTGGCTTTGACTTGCTGAGGCCCGGGCCTTTGTGTCTGTCCTCACGGGAGCCACAGGCCTCTTGCTTTGCTTTCCCTGGCCTGGATCTGCAGCCTGTGAAGGAGCGACCTGGCCTGGCCCACCCCTCCCTTCCCCGGCTTCCAGGGTGCCCTGGCTCTCTTTTTGATGAGGTGTCGAGTAACGTGTCTACCGAAGTCCAGGCAGGATGGAGCAAGCACTGGATTCTTACCGTAGAAACCCTCATGATTCCTGAGGCTGTGGAGAGCTGGTGCACACCGTCCAAGCCCTCACCCTGCACTGAGGACTGACGACCCAGAGTAAGGGTCGTCTTTGTCCCAGGTTCTTGTCAGTGATTTGGGGCCAGGTAATCACACCCTGCTACAGGGACCCAGGGCAGGGTGGCATCTCCTGACTTTGGGTTGGTCAGGGTGGGCCCTTCAGATCTTGCTCTGTGAGCCACCTGCTTAGTGTGATGAGAGGGGCGCCGCTGTCCCGGACAGCAGGACTGGAGAGGAGCTGGCTGCTGTCACCTCTGGAAACCCGGGCACTCCTCCCATAGAGGCTCAGGTGCTGCCATGCCTGGGCCTGTGCACAAGCTGGCAGTGCCTAAGCTGCAGGCCTGTCCTGCTGGGCTGCCCCGAAGAGAGCAGGCTTTGTCCTGGCTCACAGCCTCCAGGAGCCATGTGCAGTGAGCAGCGTGTCCGAGCATGTGTTCTCGTAGCAATTTTCAACAAATACATTTTTAAATGAAATCAAATCCCAAGGCCATGCCCGTTCTGTCCAGACCTGGCCCAAATCCCTTCTCCAGCGTGGAGGCCTCAGTCCTGCCTGCCACCCCCCACGGCCCCAGGCCCTCAGGTCTGTCCTGGGGCTTCTCCCCTTCCCTCTGGGGAGCCCTCTCCCTCCTGGGAACACAGCTGAGCCTCCCAGGCAGTGACTTGCCCATTTTCCTCATTTTCCTTCTGCCCCCCGCTCTGAGCCTATGTGCACCCCCATCGCATGCCCCGGCCGGTGTTGCCCATGTCCCTTTGGAGGAGAAATCCTCAGTGGCTGCGCTCCACCTTGTAGTCAGCCCTGCGATTAAAAAGCACAGCTCTGTGATGAAGGGGGAAAAATAACTCAAGCCTCCCCACCTGCAGGTTTCCAGGGGCAGAATGGGGGTGACCGTGGGAAGGAGAATGGTAGCGAGGCTGGGCACCCAGCCAGGTTTCTCGTGGGCCAGGGGCTCTGGGCCTGGGCTCTCCTGTAGGGCTGAGTGCCCCACAGGGTTGTGGGGTGAGCCTTATGCTGTGCTGAGGTGCAGGATCCGAGAAATGAGACAGGACACAGAAGTACAAAGAAAATGCAGCTGGGCTTGGGGGGCCATGCCACCTATGAGCAGAGTCAGGCGAGGCTGGCGAGGCCCTGAATGTCCAGAAGCGTGAGTATTTATTGTGTATAGGTTAGGGGGCAGGGCAGTGAGTGAAATCATCTTTAAGGATAGTGATAGGGTCGTGAGCAATAAAACATAGGGTCCACCCCCATTAGGTCACCTAGGCCAGGAGGTGGACAGTGTGCAGCAAGGGGCCCTTTCCCATGAAGGCAAGGGCCGTGTGCAGTAAGGGGTCCACCCCCATTAGGTCACTGAGGCTTGAAGGTGGGCCATGCGCAGTGAAGAGGGTGCGGTGTGCAATACTTCTATCTATGGGAAAACTACTTCTAAGAAGTTGTATAGGAGGATGCTTTAAGTCACATAGCAGTGACAGAGCTGTCAAGGTTACCGCCACCTTCTGGCAGCTTCCAATGTGTTCTATGGGAAGATGCTTTTCAAGCAGCACAGTAGCAAGAGCTGATAAAGTTCACAGTCACCAAGGTGGATTGCCGTTCTGAGGGCGGCCTTCCACAAGAACTGGAGCAAGGTCCTACAACTCCTTTATCAGGAGGAGTGGCTCTCGCCCCAAGCCTGCCATACAGCGGGTATCTTTACGATACTGAACGCTGCTGCTTGGGCCATGGATTCTTGTCCTGGTATAACTGTTTTCCCTTAAATCATGCTCTGCACTGTGTCTGCTCCAGGCATTCCTCTGATTATAAGCTGCTTATTCCTTAATTCATGCTCTGTACTGTGTCCACTCTAGGCATTCCTCCGAGTATGAACTAAAATATAGGTATATATGTAGGGAAATATTCTTTAGGCACTTACACTATCAAATATTATATGATGATATAGAGAGGATTATATCAAGGGATTCTTGAAGCCCTATTTCTATAAACTAATATATGATTATGTAAAGGATTATATAAAAGGAAATAGCTGAGTAGTAACACTATAAAGTGAGATATTCCTCAATCCCTAACTGTGCCAGGGTTCTGCTTAGCTCTCATTCCTCGGTGCCTATATGGGGGGATTACCCACACTCCCCTTCGCCTCTTGCTTGCCTCTAAGGCCATTCTTCCTTCCTCAGAAATCGAAGCCATCAAGCTGGCTGAGCAGAGGCACAGGGAGGAGCAGAGGCGGAGGGCCACGGCAGTGGTGGGGGACCTGCGCCCACTCAGGGACGCTCTGCCCGAGCTGCTGGGGCTCGAGGCTGGCAGCCGGCGCCAGGCCTGCAGGTGAGTGTCCGGGAGGGGCAGCCCTGTCTGAGCTTTGGGGGTGACTTGGGTCCAGAGGTGGAGGAGTGTGAGCGGGCCCCACGGGCCCCAGTGGCTCGTGACCCTGCAGAGGCCGAGCTGGGGCTTCAGCTGGTGATCCACACAGGTACCCTGCTCCTTGGCTTGAGCTCATGAGGTTGGTGGGGTCTGTCAGGGACGTTTCTGGGACACCTGGGCCCAACCCCGTGAGGAGCCTGGCTCTGCTGATGCCAGCTCCCTCATGTGCCCCTCCCCTCCACATCGGCCACAGCTCCTGCCAGGTCCCACTGGGGGTCTCCCCAACTCCCTGTTCTGCCACAGCCTCCACCCCACAGAGACCCTGCTGTGCCCAGCTGAGGCCCCTGAGCATCCACCATGCCTTTCTCTCGAGTCTGACGGGGGCTCCAGCCTCCCCTCCTAAGTGGACTTTTCCCTGACACCCGCTTGACACTGCACACCCTGTCCTGCCCTCACTCCGTCCCACGGAGGGTGGCCTGGTGTCGGGCGGGGTGAGCGTGTGGGACCCACACATGCTGGCCCCTGGTGCATGCCTCCTGGAACTTGTCCTCGTGGGTGGGATCTGCTTCATGCGTCCTCCCTAGGAGGGACGGGGCCTGGTGTGAGTGCAGCTGCTCTCCCAAGCTGTACCTGCCTGTGCGGGAGGCACACGCCACCTGGTATCGCCACAGGTCTGGATGTGGTTTGTTCTTCAGGGAAGAGGCAGGTTTCTGTCTCACCCTTGGCTGATGGCATCACAGTGCCCCTCCCCTGCCCCCTGCTGAGAGCTGGGATGGCGGGTTCTGGGCCCTTTGTGCATGAGCAGCCAAGCCAGCTGGCCTGGGCCTGGGCCTGGACATCAGTGTGGCCCCCACACCCCGGCCTTGGGCAAGGCCTGGTCCCTGGTATGAGCCTCCTCCTGACGCGCCGAGATGCTCCCTCCAGACCCCTGTCACCCAGTGAACCATTTGTCAGTGGCAGGTTCTGTGTGTCTTGACAACATGGATGTGGCCCTGCTAGCCTGCCATGGCGTGTGTGCCCCAGGGCGGCTCAGCCAGGAGGGCTGCAGCTGCATGACCCTCCCTGTGGCCTTTCAGGGACGTGGCCTGCCGATAAGCTGCTGCCTGTGGTGCCTGTCTCCCAGAAGCTTTCTTTCAGGCTCTTTGTGCCTGGGTGACATGCATGTGAAGGGACAACAGCCTCTACCCTTCCCCAGTGGCTGGGAGGCGCTGCCCAGCGTGGGTGCCGAGGCTCGGCTCAGACCCGGGGCTGTGGAGCCACAGCCCACCTTTCAGGAGTGGCTGGAAAGAGGCCAGGCCGCTCCGTCCTGTCTCAGCTTCTTGGCCTTCCTCATTCATGTCGTCTCTAATTTTGCCTTTTTGAAGATACTTTCTTTCTCCTACTGACTTTCCATCTGGGGAGGAAGCAGGGGCTGAGTGCAGTGTCAGATCTGGGGTCATCCTTCCATGGCCCAGCCACCCAGGCCCGGGGTGGCAGTAACACACCGCAGGTCCAGGCAGCTCCAGGCCAGCGTCCTGAATCGGAAGCACCCGGAGCGCTGGGTCCAGGCTAGGAGCAGTGGCCTGGAGTGGAGATGTGACGACTGAACATTCCTGATTCTTGAACAAAAATGTGACCCTAGTCAAGTATCCTTTCCCAGTTTTCAGTTTTCTCATCTGAAAAATGTGTTGGGAGCATCCAGAAGGGAGAGGGCTGTGTAAACACCCAGCCCCAGGCCGAGAAGGATGTGCCCTGCCGCAGGGTTGCTGTGTCCCGTGCGGGGCCTGGGTCAGGGGCCCATCTGCTGTCAGCCCTGAGAGCCTCCTGTCTCGGGGGTACCCGTCCCTCCTCAGATGCGGTTCAGGCAGCAGTGCCTCTTGACCCTGGGGGAGTTCTTGGAACGAGCCCTATTTTAGACGGGTTTTAGATTTGTAGAAAAATGGCAGAGATGGTACCGAGAGCTCCGTGCAGCTCCTCCGCCCCTGGCTGGTTGAACTCCCCGTGGCTGTTCCTCTTTTGCTGGTGTGCTGCGCTTGTCACATTTAAGGAACCAGTGTCGACAGAGAAGTAGTGAGCGTTAATGAAGTAATTAAGAGTTAACCAAAGCCCACACCTTAGCTTTCCTTCATTTTTCCCTGATGGCCCTTCTGCCTCAGGGTCCCATCCAGGATCGCATGGGACGCTCGGATATCTCGGCTCCCCAGGCCCCGCTTGGTTGTGAGTTTCTCAGACTTCTTGGTTTTGGTGACCTTGACTGTTGTGAGGAAGCTGTCCCTCAGCTGGCATCTGTCTGATGATTTCCTCGTGGGTACAGGAAGGGGCTGAGTTCGGGGAGGAAGCCCCCAGAGGTGCCACTGTCACCCATTTTATCAGGCACGCCCCGTCAGCGTGACTTAGCGCTGTGAGGCTGACCTGGCCCTTGTAGGGCAAGGCTCCCCCTCCATGCTGTCCCTTTGGAAGGAAGTCACTCTGTGCAGCCGTCGTCTCAGAGTGGGGCCTGTGCTCTACCTCCTGGAAGACACAGCGGCCGCGGAGCTTGTTTGGAATTCTGCCGGGAAGGGACTTGGTTTCTCTACACACGCATCTACGTACCGGTCGTGCATCGGTGTTGTTCTGGACCGAAGGATGTTTTGCTTACACTCGGGGCTGCAATCCAGTGCTCCTTGATTTTGGTGCCAAAACTGTTCCAGTGTTGGCTGTAGAGAATTCTTGCAGCTGCTCCTGGCTCCCTTTGGCATGCCCCATCCAGGTGGGGGTTGTATTTTTAGCTCCCTCTCACTGCCTAGCACCAGCAGGTGCCCCCGGTGCCTCTTGGACCTCTCCTGGCAGTCCTGGAGTCTGCTGTTTCTCTAGGGACCCCCATTCTGGGTATTGCAGGTATGAGGCCCTGGGTCTGGTGCTCCGTGTGCCTGGGCGGTGGCCGTGTCTCCGGGAACTGCCCCTGGTCTCGACAGGCAGGTCTCTGCCCCACCCACCTCTGCTCTTGGACTCTGATGTGCTCTGGGCTCGAGGGGTCAGCAGGCGAGCACCAGTGGCCTGGGAGGCTGGAGGGTGGACAGTCCCTCCCTGCCAGCCTGGAGCCACATCTCCCGCTTCTCCCCTTCCCACCGGGGAGGGACCCTGGTGACCCCTCAAGCTCCAGACCTCGGCCTCATGTATGTGCTTCGTGGGCGACTGCCCGCACCATGCCAGGAGTGGAGTGGTGGTGATGTCACTGCTCCTGCCTGGAGGGAGCGCATCGGGGACCATGAGGTTCCACACTGGGTGGAGCTAGGCTCTGATCCTCTGTGGCTTCCCGCTGCTGGGCCTCACAGAGTCATGTCACTGCCAGTGCTGCCCCATGGGTCATCCTGGCCCGTGATGGTAACTGCCCAGCACTCCATCCACAGGGCCCTGAACTCTCGGGAACCCCACTGGGAGGATGGGGTGTGGGATGCAAGGGCGGGGGACGGTCCCTGCGGTGAGGAGGAGGAGGTGCTGCGCCTGGCCGTGTGGGCACTGCAGCCACCCTGGGTGCAGCTTCTCTCCTTTGGAAACTTGGGAGGCATCAGTCCCGCCCCCTACTGCCTTTTCAGCTCTCTCACAAGTGAGGGTGCAGCTACATGGCCTGAGGTATCCCCAACTGGGAGGGTTGCCTTGGACCCAGGTCCACATCTCCTGCCCCCAGCATGTGGCTGCCCCACTGAGGGCTCCGCCCTGGCACCAGGGATGCACCTGGAGGAGGGGGTCCCACGCTGACAGCTTCTGCAAGGGTGGGGACCCGGGACAGCTCTGGACGGTTGGTGAGGGAGCTGCTGCTCGGGGGTGGACTTGGGGAGGGGTCAGCCGGCCAGAGGGGCAGAGCTTCTGCGTCGGGGCAAGGCTGGCCCAGGATAGGCCGTGGGGAGGCGTCCTCAGTGCCGGCAGAGTCCCTGGAATGTATGGAGCTGCGGCTCTGAGCAGGCGGAGGGGACAGGAGACACCAGCGGCGGTCATCGGCCAGTGTGAGCGGGAAGGGTGGGGACTGAGTCCCTCCCCAAGTCAGCACAGAGCCAGGGTTAAAAGAAAGCGGGTGCTGAGGGCTGTTTGGAGCAGACCCCAAATGTCTGTCATTCATGTTTTAAGAGAGCTGTGAATAAAAGCCAGTCTCCTGGCCCGAGGCTCAGCATAGGGCTTGCCTGAGGACCCCGCAGCTCCGCCTTCCCCACGTCCTCTGGGTCCCGCCTCACTGTGTGGACGGCAGATCTCGGGAGGCACCTGGTGTGGCCCCGCAGCCTCTCCCTCCCTTTCAAGGCCCAGGTCGCTGTCCCATCGGAACATTCGGCCAGGTGGGTGGCTACCTTGGCCAGCTGACCACAGTGAGCCCGCAGGCAAGTTCCCAAAGTTCCCACGGTTACCTGAGGGTGAGACACTCCACCAGGAGTCAGTGCCTGCTTAGGGTGGACACCAGAAACGGGAGTGTCCTGGCCCGCCCGTGCCCCGAGTCAAGACCCAGCACGGTGGTTTGGAGATCCCAGGACTAAAGGAAGTAGTCAGCAGCACTCCGGAAACCTCCTTGGTTCCTCCACCTGTCCACAGGGATTGCAGCGCTCGCTGGCTCCCCTGCCCCCTTGTTTAGTTATCAGGAGGGCGGGCACAGGTCCCCCCCTGTATAATAGCATGTGCCTTCTTCTAAGACAGAGCCTGGGGACACGTAGGCAGGGGCGGGTGACTCGGGCTTCCTGGGAAGTGGCGTGTGTGGCAGGAATGGGACTGGCTTTGCCTGCCAGGGTCATTTGGCTCAAAGTGTGAGGTGTCTGCGTGGCTTGCCCTGGCCAGGCAGGTGGGGTGGAGACCCTGTGTTTCATGAGATGTATTCCTGGCAACTGCTCCCTCCATGCCTCACGGAGCCAGGAAGAGCTGTGGGAGTCACCAGATTCCACACAGAGCAGCTCTCGGCCCGAGGTTGCAGGACTGGCAGGCAGTTGCACCCCTTGTCCAGGTCCAGCCTCCACAGCCAAAGAGCGGCATGTACCTGTGGTTCTGCCATGGTTTGCTCACCTTAGGCCACCACCGTTTCTGCGCCAAAGAGGGAGGGGCCAGCATCTGCCCGCGGGAAGGTGTCCAGGGATGCTGGATACTGACTGACATGGCTTCTCTGTCCACGCAGGGAGAGCAGCAAGCCGCGGTCCTCGGAGCTCAGCCGGATGAGCACAGCACAGAGACAGCAGCTTCTGTGAGTGCCTCCACCCCACCCTCCCCAGGGTCCTGAGTGTCCCCGGCCTGCCCTCCCAGGGGTTCAGTTGCTGAGAGCCCCCGCCTGCCCCCCAGGCCCCTCCACGCTGCTGCAGTCGCTCCTGCCTGTCTGCTCCAGGTGGGCTCTGCAGTGCAGTCAGGCCCTGGGACAAGGCTGCCTGCTGGGAAGGCTTCAAGGGGAGACAAGGGTCTCAAATGGTGGGTGGTAATGGCCCCTCCCCGCCCCTGGCTGGTTGAACTCCAGATGGTCACGTTGGGTTCTGTGGCTGGTCACTGTAGCCCCTGCCAGCAGGGCTAGGACACTGATTTGCAGAAATGTGTACACAGTTGTCCTCTTAGGTACAAAAGTTTCCAGACCACACACTCTGGCCTCTTTGTAGACACAGCTCCAGTTTCCACTGAGGGAGCCACATTTTATGCCATGTAAGATGGTTTTAGTTAGCTACTGGAATGATTTCTTTTCTTTGTTTTTGAAGCGACTGCTAAGATGTTTCTCAGTAGGGAACATTCTGTGTCGGTTTCTACCGAGGCCGTTGTGCCCTTGCAGTTTATAATCTGAAGTCTGCTTTGTAATTACTGTGATGTTAAGAAGCTGCTGTCGAATGGTAGTTCCAAGGGTCTCTTTATTGTTCCGGCTTTTCTTTAGGGGCACCGATTATACATTCATTGGATCTCTCATCTGTCTTCCATCTCGTTTTCTCTAATCCATTTGTACTCTAGGTACATTGTAGTATCCAGACTGAAGTACAGTTGGTGTAGTAATCTGTCTTTTTTAGTTTGCTAAAATGTTTTTAGTTTTATTTTTTAGAGACAGGTCCTTGCTCTGTGGCCCAGGCTGGAGTGCAGAGGTATGATCAAGGCTCACTGCAGCCTCCGCCTCCTGGGATGCAGTGATCCTCCTGCCTCAGCGTCCCAAGGAGCAGGGACTTCCTGTAGACCCTTGTGCTTGCCCTCTTTGGTTTCTGCTTCTCTGTTTATGAACGGAGTTCTTCCTGGGCCAACCTTGTCTGGAGACAGTTTGCAAACAGCAGAGCCGTCTCTGCGTGACCGTCCTCCTGCCTGGTGTCCCTCTCCGCCTCTGCCTGGCACCTCTGCCCCGGCACAGCCTGCTCCAGGGAGCTGCTCCCTGCCTGGACGGAGTGACGGGTTTTCTTCTCGAAGACGGTCTGTGGTCTGCACCCCTTGGTGCCCCCATGTCCTGGCGGTCACTGCATTTCGAAGCAGCTCAGGTTAACAGGTCTCCTGGTTTCATCAAAGGTAGAGTTTGGTTTCTTGTTGCTTCTGAGAGGAGAGTGGGAGGCCCCTTGTCCACTCCGTGTTTTGGAGCCAGAGGACTGTTCCCTTCATGTTGTGGTGCTTTCTGGTGCATGTGGATGGGGCTCAGGTTTGAGTGCTTAGATCCTTTGATCCAAAGACCCCAGTGGGGAGTAAGAGTGTCCCCTCCCCTGGGCCATGCTCCCATGGGGGCTGCATCTGGGACATGAGTGAGCCTTAGAGCTGGGGCTGGTGGTCTGTTCCCCAGGGCTGCTCTGTGAGGACCACACCAGGGAAAGGGGCTGTCATCTCAGATGGGAGGCCCCGTCTGTCAGCCTCTGCAGACACCTGTGCAGGATAGCATCTGCAGGCCTGACTCAGCATGGAGGAGCCACACAGCACCAGGGGCACCCAACCTTTGTCCCATACAGCATCCACACTCACAGGCAGGCACAGGCTCCCCCCATAGCCCCTCACACACAGCCTCCCCGACACAGCACCGCCACCACAGCCCTCACACACAGGCTCCCCGACCACAGCCCCTCACACACAGACTCCCCCCACAGCAGCGCTCACACACAGACTCCCCCCACAGCAGCACTCACACACAGCACCCCACCACAGCCCCTCACACACAGACACCCCCACGACAGCCCCTCACACACAGGCTCCCCCCGCAGCCTCTCACACACAGCCTCCCGCACAGCCCCTCACACACAGGCTCCCCCACCACAGCCCCTCACACACAGGCTCCCCCCGCAGCCCCTCACACACAGCCTCCCGCACAGCCCCTCACACACAGACTCCCCCACCACAGCCCCTCACACACAGACTCCCCC